CCCCAAAACCCCAAAACCCCAAAACCCCAAAACCCCTTTCTTATATATTTTAATAGAAAATAATGAGTCTTCTTAAGGAAATGGCCTAATTTTAACCATACTCCCACTCTTAGATAGTGTTGAAAGCCTTGATGTTCTGTTGAACCTTTTAGACGGGAGAGAAACCTTTCGGATGCCTTTCTTGTCACTACCCTTGCCTACTTTGAACGTTGATGTTTGATTTGGGTTCAAATCAGAAGCCTTAACTGGAGTTATATTCAACAAATTATTCTATGAAATTATATAAAATTATTACTGATTTAGTCCATCTTCTCTTATCGGGCTCTCCTGGCTAAAAGTCTGATTGTAATCCTTACTGGTGGAAATTTTGTTTTTGAACTACAAGGTTTGATTGAGATTGGGCTGATGAACTCTCCATTCTTGCTATCTAAAAGGACTTCAGCACAAGTAATATTCAACAAAAGACATCTAATAAGTATTACCTGTACTCTTCGTTCAGTAGTTGTTACCAAGCTTAGCTGTTGTGGAGTTGACGTATGACTTAGCCCTAGCTTTGGGTGTATTATACCCTATTCGACATTGAAGCAGGTCCTTACCACTTAGGCTACTTCTGTGAGCAAATATATGCTTATGAGGAGACTTCATGAACTTGGCCCTATGCAGGTCAGCGGCAGATTGGTTCTCCCTAAAATTTGTCAACATGGCTAGAGCAACAAGAGGCTATGAGCTTACAAAATCTTGTCATCAGGGCTGAGGAATAAACTCTGGTTCGGATACACCAGATTTTCATTAATTAAATACTTCTTAGATGATTTATTCTTGCAGCGCTGGTGTTCATTGCTAGTGCTGATTCATTCATCGGTCCTATTTCTGTAGTTTTTAGCAAAGGCAACTTACCTGTTTTTGAATGCCTATGAGAGCTTTAACCAAAGAGGGGTTACTACCGGTCAATCATAAAGGCATACCTTGGGTAGATAAACCTGAACTGCTTTATTTCCTGTTCTCTAGGCTTAGTAATTGCTTTCCTGTAGCTTAACTTTTTCATTAAGAAATTCTTGGCAAATGTCTCCATTTTCTAAATAGTTCAAAATAAAGGCCTACGCTACATGCTAGTGACCTTATACACATCTGCTGGTCTTGCGAATATTTTTTGTTCTATATATAAGCTACTCAAATACCTTTTTACTCTGGCTTGTGTTAAAAATTAAGATTTAATTCAGACATTATCATTGCATTTTTCTGAAGCTCAAGGAAATTAATCTTCTGCTTACTATAATAAGCATTATTCGCTAAAACTGTTCAGCATGAAATTAGTGAAATCATGTTCTAATAAGCCTTCGAATTATCGAACCGATAAATCATGCCCAAAATGGCTAACGCACGCATTATCCATGCAGGGTTTGGGATATGGGCTTACTTTTCATCAGTCTTGTAGAAAGAAGCAAAGGACTTCATATTCTTTATCATTGAGCTGACGCTTTTGTCATTTAGGTCCTTCCTAGGTCTGAAAGTCTACTTAAAGAGTTTAGATTGCATATAATTGTTGGTGGAGAAATATACTTTTGAGAATGCAAACTCGATACCTTATGTATCACCAACATATCTAAATAGAAGTATTCGTACCTTTACATGACGGACCTTTACTTTGGCCTTTTTGGAGCTGCTTGGAGTCTCCATTACACTTGATAAGTCCTCGTTATGTTTCATTTTTACAGCGGAAAGCTATTTGTTAATTTATACTTTATCAATATTTATTGCAAGCAATGGGGTTTTGGGGTTTTGGGGTTTTGGGGTTTTGGGG